GCAGTTCGAAAAAATGTAAAAATGCAAATAAAAAAATAGGGACCACTTTGGTGGGAAGGTAATAGTGTTCCATGTACTTTTGGCATTTAGTCATGCTGGTTAAATGATCATGGAGAAGTCTTTGGACAGCACTGGCTCTTCAGCTTTGAAATGGAGATGAACACTGCCCCCTAGAGCTGGAAACGACTAGTATGTGTGAGGGGAACTTTTACCTATATATATAATAGAAGTGGCTCATAACAACGATTTGTTTAGCAATTGCATAAAGTTACGATGGGACTGAAAAAAAGTGACTCAATTCTTGCACTTATGACCATTGCAATGTCCCTACAATCATGTGATCACTACTTGCAATGCTCTCTGCTGGCTTCCACCAAGCAGTCAATGGGGAACACAACAGAAGGTTGCAAGTTGGAGTCTCACTTAACCCTTGCTTAACGGACTCAAGTGCAACTGTGCCCTCATAGGTTGGCATGGTCACATAATATTTCACTTAAAGACCACTTTACCTAGTGACTGGATTCCCAGTCTAATTACAGCTGTTAAATGAGGACTACTTATATTTCTATTGGCATCAGTCTAATACAAGGATGGCAATCTTTTGGACCTGATAGCTTTCAATAGTTTTGCATGTGAAAGGAAAAAGCTAGAATTCCCGAAACAGAAATAGAAAAAGAATGCTACTTAAGATTTAGCAACATTAAAAAAAAACATTTATTTAACCTCTAAGTGTGACCAGTCAGATATTTCTAAGAGATCCAGAAGATGGAATGAAAATATTGTATTAGAAGACAAGGCTATATTTACTATTGCTATTACTGGTATGCTTGTGTGTAGATCTATATATACAAATAATTGGTCGTTAAATAAGGTAGTTGTTAAGTGAAATAATGACTGTGTCTGAGCTTATAATCTTATTTCAGCTTATCTTTTCTCTAGAACCATGGTTAGAATGCATTGTATTCATTGCATATTGTAAGTTAATTCTGCTGCCTGCCAGCAATTTAATTCTGACCTGCTCAGCTTCCATCCTTCCAAGGTCAATAAAATGAGGACCTAGATTGTTGGGGGCAATATGCTGACTCTGTAAATAGAGAGGGCTGTAAAGCACTGTGAAATGTAACTCTAAATGCCATTGCTGATATTGCTATTGCTTTACAGAAATGCAAAGGTCATAAATGTGAGGTCACAAAGTTCCTTTCACATCACTGTTGTAACTGTGGTTGCTAAATGAGAACACACCCAAACACACACACCTATAGAAGGCAGTGAGGGATAAGGGTTAAAATGCTGAATTAGGCACAGGGAGATCAGATACCCTTAAAAATGTTTTTGTCACTCCCTTTTCTCTCATTTTAATGGTGAACATTATAGAATTTAACCTATCAAAATTCAACAATGCAATTTTTGCTACCAAACTTTGGTAGTCAAGAGTACCATGGATAATGAGTGATTTTAATCAAAAGTTCGTTTTTTTTTCTTATTGTACCCTGCACCGTGTAATTTCTTCTCTCTTTTTGTTCCTTGAGGTTAGAAATCAAGTAATCAGGAATACATGGGGGGGGGGGGATCAAAAGAGCTTTTTGCATTGCATTTTAACTCACAAAAATGGTGCCCAGTAGTATTGCAATGATTGAATAAAAATAAATAAAAATAAAATGGTTGAACTTCCCCCACTGTTTGTCCTCTTTAAGAAGTCTCTGTTAATGGCTTTTGATCATAAACAAGGAAGGAATATTTTAATGACATATGAGGATGCGGGTTTGGTCCCTTGGAAGGCTAAGCATGTGGCTATAAGAAACACCATCTTGCCTTAAACTCTTGTTTAACATGTCTCTTGACCTGAGAAATTTATGATCAATACTCCTGCAAGTAGAAACTTTAGGTACTTGGATACATACAAATCTCTTTTTGTCCTATAGGTTATCATCCTGATTAAGTAATTTAAGAAAGTACCTTCAAAATGCCTAGCTTTATAGTAGATAATCTGCCTTTAATCCTCCAAAATCTTCACCTTAAATATGATCAGCAGGTTATCATACTATACTGTAGATCTTTGTTTCAGAAGTCTCCACCTCTTTTTAGTTTTGCAAGGCAGTTTCTGTAATATTTAAACTGTAAAACCTAATCAGGTTATGATCAGGAAGTGTTTTCTTATGTTGCTTAATCAGTTTGATGCAATTTCCAAAAATTCAAAATGCTATTCTCAGTAATTGTACTTGAAGAGATCTTCATTTAATGGGACTGAACCATTCATTCATCTTTAATAGCTCTGTGTTTCAATTCTTTTTTAAAAAAATCTTTTTTAAAAATGCAGTTTAAAATCTAGATTAAAATCAAAATTAATACGATTATTAATATCCTAATTCTGGAAACTCATTAGAAAAGCACTCCCTCACACCAAAAATACAATCTGGATGATCAGATAAAAATGCAATATATTTATCCCTGAAAAAAGATGAATGAGAGCTAATGTGATATAGGTAGTTCTCAATTTACAACCATAACTAGGGCTAGAATTGGATTACTAAACCAGGCAGTTGTTAAACGAGTCATGCCTGATTTTATGACCTTTGCTATGGTGTTAAGTGAATTGCTGCAATTGTTATGTGGATCAGTAAGCGAACCCAACTTCTTCCATTGACTTTATTTGTTAGAAGCCATTTGGGAAACTCATAAATGGCAATCACATGACCCCAAGATGCTGTAAATATTATAAATATATGCTGGTTGCCAAGCACCTGAATTTTAATTATGTTCAACAGTTGTAAATTGAGGACTCCCTGTAGTACTAATTGATAGTTATATTAGTTATCATCTCATCATACTAATTTTGGATTTGAGTCAAGGTTGACTCAGCCTTCAATCTTTCTGAGTCGATGAAGATTCAGATTGTTGGGGACAATATGCTGACTCTGTAAACTGCTTAGAGAGGGCTCTAAGGCACTGTGAAGCGGTATGTAAGTCTAAGTGCTATTGCTATTTCTCTGAATATGATTTTTCCCCCTATGCTATTGCTATTTGGATTTTGGAATTATGGTGGATAGTAAATACTATAAATGGGTGTATGAAATATGAAGCTCATATCTCTTTATTGTTCTAGAAATGCAGGGCATGAAATTATAGTCTTAAATTAGTGAAAAGCACTTTTTGAGGTAGCCAATTATAGATGGAGTTTCTTACTTTCATAGAGTAATGTATTTAGAGAAAGGCTGTAGGGATTATGACTACAGGTTTGGACTGCAAAAATCCGGCTATCTCTAACATTTTGCTGCCATCTCCTGGTCATGGGGGATTTTTAAAATCATTCTATCATTTAAGTTTCAGTCTTCTGTTACCAGAGAGAAGGGAATTTTCCAATTTTTCAAAGCAAAATCTTAATGACTCAAATCACAAAACTGCCATCTACTGTTTACCAGCACAATATCCAAATCAATGATTTATGAAAAGCTAGAAAGTAGACATTATTAAACACCTAAGGTTTCTACAAAATCAGAAAGTAAAAGATTGTGCCATATAGCAAAAACTTCCTCATTTGTTATATGTACCTGTAGTCTCAATGTCCCAATCCTGAATACACACATGCACACACACACAAGCTACCATCTTGACAACCAAGAAGAAATCTTAAAGATCGGGTTTTTGATGTCCTAAAGCTCTAAAAATTTTAAAATTTGTCCTTTGCAAGGAGAAAAGCAGGGGGGTGGGGATTCTCTTTTGTAAGCTGTACAATGCTCTATAACCAGTGCGTTTCCACTGTCAGCCATTAAAGCAAAGAAAAATGAATGCACCCCTGCATTTAAAAATTTTAAGTTTTAAGCTTTCAGTTGCATGAGATGCTTTAAAGTGGAGCTTCTACCAAAGTATTTTGTAAATTGTAGGCTCTGAATCTGCCTTTACATAAGCACATAGATCATCTATCTCAGGGGTGTCAACTTGATTTCACTGAGGGCCACATCAAGATTGTGTTTGACCTCGGAGGGTTGGGAGGTGGCATGGGGCATGGCCAGATGTGTGGCCATGCTGGAGATGGCCGGGGTGCACATGGCCATGGTGGCCGTGACACAAGACTCATGTCGGAGCACTGTGGTGGCCAAGTGTTAAGGACTTCCCTGATACCATCCCTTACTCATTATAATCGCCTTCCTTCCTTTTTCCTTCTCACTTCATTCTTTCTTCTTCCTTCCCTTCCTTATTTCCCTTCCTTGCTCTCTTCCCTTCTTTTCCTTTCTCCTTTCCTGTCCCTTCTTGCATGCTCAAGTGCAAAAGGGGAAATGTTTCTCCTTTTGTTTTGTTTTGCTAGCCCTCTGCCAGCGAAGAGGCTTGTATCCCCATGCCATTTTCACCCCGCTCAAGCTCCATTTTCGCTGGCAGAGGCACTATAGGCCAGTCCTTTCCTGTTTCCAGGCCGGCCCCGCGGGCCAGATCTAAGCACCCTGTGGGCTGAATCGAGCCCGCGGGCCTTGAGTTTGATGCCCCTGATCTATTTGCATCATGACAGACCATGACTAAAAACAATTAAGCAACTGCAGATGCAGGTAGAAAATGGTGCCTTGTGAATACTTGCATGCCATGCAAAGGCAGCCATAGTATTATTAGTACAACTCTAAGCATCTACAAATGTTTATGAACCTTCTGAGCCACGGTGACACAGTACTGCAGGCTACTTCTGCTGACTGCCGGTTGAATGCAATTTGGTAGTTCGAATCTCACAAGGCTCAAGGTTGACAAAGCCTTCCATCCTTCCGAGGTGGATAAAGTGAGGACCCAGATAGTTGGGGGCAATATGCTGACTGTGTAAACCGCTTAGAGAGGGCTGTAAAGCAGTATATAAGTCTAAGTACTATTGCTATTGCTATTTTTGATCCATTTCATCTAAAAAAAACCCAGAACAACTAGAAAGAACAGCCAATGTTGATGATGAACGTTTTATGGCTCTTGAAAGCTTTGAAAGTATTACGCGCTTGGTTTTGTGACCATTATTAAGCTGCCGAGTCTTCTTTTGAGGAGGAGCAAATTAAATTTTATTTTTTAAAAAAATTAGACAGTAAAACTGGAATAAACAAACAAAATTTTAAGAAACTGAGTGGAAAAAGACAGCATAGCATTAAATAAACAAATACAATTATATACAGAAAGTTAACTACACATCAGCAGCAAATTCTGATCATTTTTACTGCAAAGAACAACTTTCCCGTCAAAGAGATGTGCCAGGCAATATTCAGCTTGATGCACACACATTGCATTTTTGATAACCTAAGACACCACTGCCTTTCATGAGACTTATTCATTCTGTGCCCATTCATCGCAATTATCCTAACCATGGAGCACTACTGCAGTGTATACATTGTGCTAAGCCAAAACCAAGAAACCCCCATTATGGATTATCGTGCTATCGTGAATCAATAAATTATTCTGCATCGGGACTAACCATGGCTATTAAAAACTAGATTTTTCTAAGTTTGTAACTAGTCTGAAATTATGAGTTAACAAACTTTCTTTTTCAATCAGATTTACATCTTCTGCCATGGCTAAGTGAGGGTGAGAGGGAAGATCATGGCTATGAGATCAGAAGCATTACTTTTGTTGCTGACTTAAACTTACACTTTAGTGGGATTCACACCTTGTAAACTGACAGTTTTTTCTCTCTTAAAAATGTAGTTCAAAACTAAAGTACAGTTGTTGTTAAGGGTCTATTAATATAGCTATAGGCAATGCTATATTTCATTGGAAGAAATACATTTTGTCTGTGGTTACATAATAAAGTTTTACATCTTGTTTTACATCCACACACAAATGGAGCTCTTTAAACAAGGTTATAGGATTATTGTGCATGTAAACTCAAAACAGCTGCCATTTTGTTATTCTCATAAATACAATATGATAACTTTAAAGGAGAGCATCTGGTTTATTCTGATTCAAGGCATGTGAAGCCTGTAATCTAGATTAAAGAGTCATATGTGGCAGGGATTAAAATGGGATTGTACACATGCTTGGTAATTATTGGTAACCATGCATGTTGCACTATACAGTGAAAACTTGCAAATGTTTATTTCTCAAAACATATACCCAGAACCACAACTAAAGGAGAATTGAACAGAGATTGATTAAAATCCCTCCATTAAAAAATAAATTTAAGACACATCTGAGCCTCTTGTCTAAAAGTAAAAAAAGAAGTCCCTGAGCTCCAAGTAAGATCATCTGTACATGTTTGAACTGTTTCTTTTTGTTTAGCATCGTATCAAAATAGTTTGAGTTTTGGCCTGAATACCCTTCAAAAGCTTGAGGATTGTTATTGCTATCTAAAGAAAATGAGATCAAAATCTAAATCAGTGTTTCTCAACCTTGACAACTTTAAGATGTGCGGCTGGATGAGGAATGCTGGGAGTTGAAGTCCACACAACTTAAAGGGTTGAAAAACACTGGTCTAAGATTGATCCTTGCTGATTAAGGAAGCATATTTTGCTTGATTCCAAGCCAGTGTTTGGAATCAGTCCACCATCAGGATCCATGGATTTTTGGGGGCATAGAAAGCACTAAAAACATTTGATGCCTAAAGGATAAATCTGTACCTCAGTTTTCTGATGGAGGCAAGGAGAGCATTTTCAAGTAATAAAGTTAAATTGTCAGGCCTTTCCCACCTCCCAATTGTGTGGGTGGAAGGGTGAATTACAATATTATACCATTATATTAAAAGTTTCAGCCTGTAGTTTTTCTTCTTTTAGTAATTAATTTGATGTAATAAAATACTGCAATAGAAAATAATACATGTTAGCTATTTTTCTATGAGTGCATTGAATTGATACTAAAGAAACATAACTTTTAATGCCTACTGGAAAAATGGAGTCATGGCAATAAAAGAACTGCAGGGAAATAAGATAAACAGCACATTTCTAGTATGGATTTAACTAGCATATTTTTTTCAATACATAATCTTGAAGATTATTTTAGCATGCTCTTATCAATACAGCTAACATTTAAGTCTCCATGCAGAGTAAAAACATGGGGTTATGTGCTTTTTGACTTAACATTGTTCAGCTATGGTTTTGTGTTGAACGCCCCGATTGATCTTTAAAGTCCCCGCATAGATACTAGATTTTGATTTCCACAATAGCTTCAAAAGACTCCTCTCTATATTTAGCTTATTCTGGTTTGAATGAGGTTTCTTTCTCTCAAATGTGGCATGCTTTTGGAATAAAATGGCATCCTTGAAATGACAAATGGCTATCAACTTCATTTTTGTTAGCACAGTCTTAAAATTGAAAACACATACATACACACACAAAAAAATAAGCATGTGATATGTTGCTTTAAAATCTGTACCACAGATCAATTAATTTTTTTAAAGTACTACAGTTTTGTGGCAAAAGCATTTGCAATAATAATAAAATGCTCAATTGTGGTGCCCCTCCCCACTTCTAAATGTCACTACTAATTCTGGATGTGCAGTCATTATATGCAGAGTATGCATTCTATCACAAAATTCTGGTTCAAATGAATGTCAATTCCTACCTGCCAAGTTCACTCCAAGAATCTAGCGTGTTTGAGACTATATAAATCTGCCTCAGATTGGTCCACTATTTATTAAATGATGGACATCAGCAAGATACTTGTTCAAGAATCATCTTTAATGTGAAACTATTAGCATGCTAAGTATTTCTGCACTGCACTGAAGAAAACATATATCCAATAGTACATAACCTAAAAATGGGGCCAAGCAACAAGCAAATACAACTGTATAATTCGTATATGCAAGTATAGGATTATACCAGAGGCATCAAAGAAGGATGTCAGTATCCAAAATCAGGATGGCTCCTCCCCTTCCTCTCATAAAAAGGAGGAGGACTTTGGTTGCCACCATCATCTGGACTGTTTTGACTCTCATACACTACTGGTTATGTGCTGGGACCCCAACCCTTCCCTTTCCATTGGTGCCTGAAAAACCAATCCTTCAAACTCTGGGAATTCTCCACAATTGGACTCCACAGAGTCACAGAGAAGTAATGAGAACTGCTGTACGTCTCTGAGCCCCTTTCTCTTTGTGCAAGGCAATTCTGGGTGACTACTTACAAAAGGCAAAAAATGCAGCTGCGTCGTTTGTGCTGAACTTGTCGGAATTCGGCAGCAGCCATTCATATAGCTCACATCTGCACAAGAAATATTCCAGGTGACGGGGAGCAATGATTGTAGACAGTGAAGAGAAATGAATGAATAAGTACAGGCAACAAAATAAGGATTTAATTTACAGAATTGCAGGTATTTTTATGCTGTAATCTGCTAATGAAGATACAGCAATTTCCAGCAGTGGATGTCAAATTATAGAATTTTGTCCCCCAAAGAGCTTTCTCAACACCTACTTATCTTTTTGATGCTAATCCTGTTTTTATTTCTTTCATTTAAAATTATTACGTTATATTGCTGTTAAGGTTTATCTGGCTGCTGTATGCTATTTATTTTTGTTGCATTTGTTTTATTTATATTTTGATATGCCTTCCTGTGAATATACTGAAAAAAGCATAAAGAATATTAACAGCATAAGATAGATGTATATTTTGAATTTAAGTAAACTTTCAAACAAAATTTTTCAGTATGCATCCTATCGAAGGGCAAAATCCAAATGGATACGTTTCCCCCTCTTGTGCTCTTTATGTAAAATACACTGTATTTGTAAGTTCAAATTCAGAGAGTCACAAGGAAAGATACTAAGATTTTTTTTTTAATAAGAGCAACCCAGAAAATTAATTTTCACCAGCATTGATTCACATTACAGTACATCAATATTAACAGCATTCTCTTTTTTTTTTCTCCTATTTTTGGTACATAAGATGGAACCTTTCTAGATAACCTCATAAGGCATCAGTAACTAAGAGTAAAAAACCTATTAGTTTACAATTTATTTAAAAAATTCGGAAATACACAGCAAGTCCTAAACCTTAGTAGTGCTATCCATACACAACTACCTGATTTCAGTTCCCAGTTAAAAGCCCCAACTCTTTCAAGGAAGCTCTGCAACAGTGATGTTGTGCAATATGGATGTTGCTTACTATGACACCCTCCCCACCCGACCCCACCCTGAATATTACACATGGCACATTCTCATTCAAATTTTGCAATGTAAAAAGTTACAAACATATCTAACCAAATAAATAATAATTAAAAATGAATGGGTTTGTTAAGTATCCTAAAACCACTATGCAGAATAATGGCCGTTTTCTCTCACAGATTATATACATGGTAATACCCAGCAAAGGGTACACTGCTACAAAACATGTTAAACAAAGAGTAAACTTGAAATGTTTTTCTTTTTCCATAATAAAAATCTAGCAGCTTGACTAGCTAATGCTGTTGTGTTTCTTTGAATTTGGGAAGTGTTTAATCTATGTCTTCATCCAGTTCGTAATTGTCTTTATCATAAATATCTTTTACTAAAAGAACCCGTACAAGCATATTTTCCAAAGTATTGCGGTCCACTGAAGTGGAAGTATACCAAATGGGACTCTCCGAAGATAGTGGACAAGCTGGCTGCAAATAGAACACGTCCATTCTCTGAGTGAGATTTGACGGGCTGAAAGGAACAAAACAAGAGCAAAATTAATAAGGGGCACATATTATTTTAAATATATGGTCAGTGTAATAACGTCAGTTTAAAGCAAGGGGTATCAAACTCAAGGCCTGTGGGCCCAATCCGGTCCACGGGGTGCTTCAATCTGGCCCGCAGATAGCAAAGGAACGGACTATGGTACCTCTGGCAGCCAAAATGGGACATTGAGGGAGCCGCACACGGCCCTCTGCACTCCATTTTTGGCCTGGATGACCTCCTGCCAGCCAAAATGGGGCATGAGGGGCCTCATGCCCCCCCCGGCACCCCATTTTGGCTGGTAGGGTGCTGCAGGAGGCATCCATCTTCCTCCACCACCACCTCCCACCAGGCCATGGAAAAGAACTGCAATGCTGATCCGGCCCAAGAAGAAAATCAGTTTTGACACCCCTGGTTTAAAGCATGATATAAAGTAGTTTAGAGCAGAAGGAATATTTATTTACCAGACAGCAGCTATTGACTTTTAAATATCAATGAAATATCCACTTCATACAATCTGGATTTCTAAAATACTGCTATTATACAGGTAGCCCTTGCTTCTTCTTAACTTCCTCTTTTACTATTTTGGGTGTTGATGGAGGTACAAATTTCTGTAAATCCTTGCTTAACAATCCTAATTAGAACTGGAAATTCCACTGCTAAATGATAACATCTTTAAATAACATCTAAGCTTTAAGTATAACATCACCTGACTGCACTGTTAGTGATGACAATTTTGGTAGTCCTGGTTGCAGTCGTTAGGTCAGGATTGCGTCATTGTTAGGCTAGGATCTCATGTTTCTTCTGCTCTGCTACAGTTGCCTTTGCTTCAACTCCTCTATACGCCTATTTTCCCACATCTCTACCTTTGGCCGCCCTGTATTCTGTTGCCCTGTATCCCAACTGCCCTACACCACTCCCAGTTGACCTTCATTGTCTTCTTCCTCTCGGTGCTGATAGAGTGCCTAGAACTGGAACTTTACAAGTCAGCTGCTGGGTCAAAGGAAGCTTTGGGAAGACAATGCAAGGCCAACAGTTTCATCACAAAGGCCAGGAGCACCTTGTGAGCAGCAGGAGGAAGAAGAGGATGATAGTTAATTGGGACGGCAGTTGTACAGAGCAACAGAAATGCAGGGTAACAGGAATTCATGGTGGAGTACAGGTTAGCGGGGTAGTGGAAGAGAGGATGGCAGACCCAGCAAAGTATGAGGCAGCTGAAGAGATGGGGTGGAGATTGTGGGTGAGAGAGTTCAAGGGCACCCCCAAGTTGTAAATGTGGGCAGCCTACTTGATCACGTGACTACAGGAGCATTACAATGCCTATAACTTCAAAGACCAGGCCTAAATGCCTTTCGATTAGTAGTGTTGTATCTTCAAACTGTTGCTGAAAAATGGGTTATTAAGTAAGGACTGCCTGTATAGATAAATGATATAGGGCTTTCTGTCTGAGCAGAGGGTTGGACTAGAAGACCTCCAAGGTCCCTTCCAACTGTTATTCTGTTGTTTTACTTACAATGTTCTATTACTAAAAACTTCCTATTGTGTTCAGTTCTCCCTATATTGGGCTTCTTAGAATTAACACAAAAGTTGCTGTTCCTATAATAGCTGGTTTCAGGTGGTCTGCGCCTGAAATTGAAACATACTTGTTGCAAGTATTTTGGACTGTGTGATGGGGACTGATATGTGTACAAAACAAAAGAGGCACATTTGCTCTGGCAAAAGTGCTCCAGTTAAGGAGCAAAGGAAAGCCAAGGACATCAATGTCTGAGAAGAGGAGGCTAGAGGGATGCTGGGACCTCAGTAATGGTGGCTGTTGAGATGAGCATACCAATTGGATATGCTGTGCATATCACCGATGGCAGAGGCTGAGGATGGGCCAAGGGGATATGCTACCTTGGAGGGAGAAGGTGCTGGGACAATCAGGGCAGAGGAAAGGGAAGATGCTGGGACAATAGGGAGAACAGTGTTGAGAGCTGCTATAGAGCTGATGGGATGCACCCTTACCCTTCTTGCCTAGTCTGGATTTTGTTTGCTCCAAAACCTGGAGGAACACCAGAATATTATAAATTTGGCCTGTTAAGCATGATACAGTTGCTAAGCATGAAACAGGTAGCTAGATGTGTGAACATCTAGGACACTTTATTTAATACAGTATGTAAGAATGTTGGGAGATAAGATCATTTAGCAGAATTATTGCTGAATACAAGTGATGTTAAAATTAATATGTTTTACATTTCTTTCCTTTGGAGTGTTTCTGAGTGTCCGCAGATAAAAATTGTAAAACCCAATGAAAAAAAAGGTCCGCATATAGACTCAGACACAATTAAAATCTTTTTTTAAAAAGATACCTCCTAGATAAATAGCATTCAAACATTTTCACAGGACATCTAGAAGGATCTGCGATGTTTTCCATTTGTTCAAATACTGGCTCATCGTCTTCGTGCTTCCTTTTTCCAGTAGTAATTTTATCTTCTTTTTAAAAAAGGAAAATAGTACAATATGATTTTTGTCATTGATTTTATTTTAAAAATAGACAAATTATATCACAAAGGACTCAATTAAAAACAAAAACAACAGCTATAATACTGTGATGTTGCAATCACTGTCTTACCTGAAAGGGAGATTCAGGAATATTTTTTCAGTAATATCTTTTTTTTTTTCAGTTAAGTATATTTTTTCAGCAACTTCATCGAAGTAATTTTAACTGTGGCTTTATCAAGGAAAAGATGAAAAACCTAAGTCCCAGTTCCAATTATTTTCCTTTCCTGAATGAAGACTCTATCCACACAAGTACTTTACCTTATAGAATAAGCTGAGAATCTGATTTTCTACATTTCATTTAAATTTGCTATTTAAACCAAATGTTAGTCTCTGTCCCAAGATGACACACAATTCTGTTATCTGTCGTCAAAAGTTAGTAATTAGTTACTTAGCTTAATTGTTTTTAATTCCACCAATACTTAAGGATGGCTTGTTGAACTAATTAATCTATAACCCCAGCTACAACCACACAAAACCAAACAAATCACATATGACAAAGTAAAATGTGTGAACCCAGTTAAGGACAAGTAGAAGTAAAGTGAATGACATTTAAAGAATAAACAATAAGAGAAAAATAAGATTATCTAGTGAAATCAATAACCTTAAGTTGCTATGGCCTAGCTACAGAAAAGGACTGATACTCTATATATTATAGCTTCTGAATTTAATCTCTGGGGTAGAGACCTCCAGTCTGAAAACTGTGGAGAAGGGTTGCCAGAAACACTCTCCTTCTTTCTCTGTGTGAGAAAGATCAATATTGAATCACTATTTTGTATTATTTTACTTTCTTTCCAGAAGCTTTGTAAAATATAGCCCTCTGCTTAAGGTAGAGACTAATGAATAATAAGAAAAACCATATCCAAGTAGCACAGAGGCCTCAGTGTCTTTCTATAGTATCTACTGGCTTTGCAAGCAATGTAGCTCAATAACTTTGCCAACGGGATAAAAAGTTGCAATACCTTCATTATCTGTTCCACACAGAGAGGAAACCTGATATCTAAGACAAGCTTTGCTTTCCTTTGTTAGAGGATTCTTCTTCCAATGTCTATAAACAGTGCCAAAGGAAAGTCTTAAGTGCTGCTCCACTGTTTTCAGACCAAAATACTTGGTGTTGAAGTAGAATAGTGTATTTAAAAGAGCAGCTGGAGAATGGGATCCCAGCTGTTTAATCTTCCAGAGATAGTCCTCCTCAACTCGAGAAAATATCGAACCTACGAGGTGAAAAAGAAAAGTCTTATAAAGACTTATAAAGAAACAGACCTAAGCAATTCCAACATTAAAAAACCTAAGAAAATAAAAAAGGGGTTACATTAATCTGAAAAACATATGAAATATTTAAGACCAAGTACCTTAGCCCAACAAATCAACTAAAGATTAAACTATGCTTATAAACCCAACATTCTTTCAATAACTTATAACAATTAGTAATGAATTAATCTGGCGTGAATTGCTTAAGGAACATAGAGCCAAAGACAAAAAATATCAAAAACAACATAAATTACCATCTGGAAGTATGCTGGGCTGCCAGCTTCTGAGTATTTTATTTAATTCCTGCATAAATGTATGATAATTAGTATCCAAAAAGATATTATCTTCTCGATTGCTTCCATTCAGGTACTATAGAAAAAGAAGAATATAAAAGTTAGTATACTCAAACATAAGACTGCCAAACTGTTTTTGATCATTTGCATGCATATAAAAAATAACCGCATAAGAAAGCAACCTTAATTTAACTACTAATTGGCTTGATCTTTGTGAGGGATTTGGGATTCATTCAAGGAAGTAGGGAATGATTTTTACACAACCTCTCCTGCAACACGTCAATCTCAAAACACATGATTTGAAGGAGCATTGTTTTAAAACTGGTCAGGGTTTTTGTAAACCATGATATAAACTTAAATAGTGTGCAATGAAAAGCTGAAATTCTGGGAGTGCATGACAGGGTAAATATGAGTTCTCCACCCTGTAGAAGAACAGGAGGAGAAAAAGTACATAAGCCTGGGACCTGCTTCTGTTAGTTCCAATTGATCTACATGACATTAAACCAGGGGTCCCCAAACTTGGCAACTTTAAGACCTGTGGACTTCAACTGAGAAGTTCTGGGAGTTGGAAGTCTACAAGTCTTAAAGCTGCCAAGTTTGGAGACCTCTGCATTAAACCATGTAAATGCAGCTAGTATTTCAACCGATAATTCTGTTCTGTCAATCACATTTATTTGAAAAAATATATAGCAACCACATGCAGATTATCTAATATTTAAATTACTCACTTCCTGAATCCCAAGACACAAATAATAGATACTGTCAGGTGCATAGTTTTCTCCGTTTGGTCTTCGGACTTCATTTACAAAGTGTGCCAGCCCAAAATTTAGCTCAGTAGAAGTATGTGATATAATATCTTCTTTCAATTTTACTGACTTTGCTGTAGTGGGAAATGTAGGGTATCATGTAATGCTGTCTCTTATCGATAAATAAAGCACTCAGCAGATGAGTACAAAATAAACATATTCAAATATTGCAAACATCACCATAAAAACCTCTTTCAAACATAAGACATTTAGCAAGGGTTTTTCACTTAAAATATTGATTTCTATGCGATGCTTAATGCTTAGTGACTTTGCAGTAATTGTCCATATACAATGACCTCGTTTGCCTGATGAAGATGAAGACATAATGTGCCCTTTACAACCCCATTACAAAAACAAAATCTGAATACATATCCAAGCTCTACAGTCTTATCTGCTAGGCATACTGTTTGTATGTTTTAAACTAAACACTTAAAGGTATATGAGATACTTACTTGATTTTAATTCATCTAGTACTGACAGATCTTCCTCTAAGTTCCTAGCTTTTACCCAATGTTTCCATGCATTTACACCATATGCATACTTGAAAGGAAAACTGCACTCTGAGTTCTCAGAGGCATCATCTTGAGAATGGTATTCTGACACAGCTTTTCTCTTTAGTCCCTGCCATCAAAATAGACTTTGTTTATTAACAGTGCTTATTAATACTGAACAATCAATGATGCTTTTTCTTTTAAAGAGAGGTGAAATACCAGTAAACCATAGGCACCAACTATGAAACATGCATTGGGAGAGAAGCTTGGGATTCTTAAATTAGTTGTATTCAAGAATGTATGCAAAAAGCCAACGTCTATTTCACACTGTAAATTATGAAATTTGGAAAGACACACGGTGTACAAAACAATACCAACGGGCACAAATCACCTGTCTCATTGCCCCTCAAGATACAATTATTAGACTCCCATCACAAGAAGACACAACCAAAGAAGACACTACTTGTGTTTACCATTCTAATAACAAAAATAGATTATACCTTCTTTTTACTTCGAGGTCTTGGCTGTTCCTCGTATTCTTCTCCAAATACAGGTGGTAGCAAAAATTCATTCTCTGTGTCAAGTTCTTCTGTTGCTGCATATAAGAGTGTAACCACCAAGGATAAAGTAAACATTTTGTACATATATTTATAAATGATGAATTATTTGTTTTACAATATATTTTACTCAGGATTCAAAGGTACTTTTAACAATTGTAGAAAACAATGAAAGTGAATATTCTAGTTATTATAATTAACTTTATATCAATTATATCTGACATACACTCCATTTTTATTCTCTTTGTAGGGCACACACACACACAGACAAATTACTTAAATTATTGGGTCTTTTCATATATAAATGCATAAAACTTCTTTGCAAAAATGTTTCTAGTCAGTTTCCCTAAACTGATTCTTTCCAAAGATGATGCTGTTCTCAGTGCTCTACATGGACCTCATTTTGCCAAAAAGGGTGTTGGTATTTACCTGATACGCCCATTCTCTGTGAGCTGTGAAGAGCATCCAGTGATGGGAAGGTGCTTCAGTCTCTTCTAGGAAGGCTGGGCTTAAACTTGAGGACACTCCTCCTCCTCCACGAGACTCCTCCTTAGCGTCCCCAGTTTTGCGAAGCCAAGGTATTGATACCCTATATGCTTAAGCCTATGTAACAACCCTGGCCGGAACGGACCCCCTACCAGACAAAATTAAAGCGTGGGGCTGGATGCTCTTCACAGCTCACAGAGAACGGGCGTATCAGGTAAGTACCAACACCCTTTCTCCCACGAGCTGTTCAGAGCATCCAGTAATGGGACATACCAAAGCTTGTCCCTGTCCTAAGGGAGGGACTCCGTCTGGGTTACAGACCTAACTGTCTCTGAAATAACTTGCTGCAGAACTCGCCTACCAAATGAAGCCTCAGCAGAAGCAAATACGTCAATTTTATAATTCTGAATAAATGGAGATGGAGAAGCCCAGGTTGCAGCTTGGCAAATCTCCTCTATTGTAGCTTGGATCACCCATGCTGCTGTGGTGGCTGCACTCCTTGTGGAGTGAGCGGTAATGCCTTGGGGTACTGGAATCGAGTGAGAGTCATACAACTTAGTGATGGTGGCCCTTAGCCATCTACCTATGGTAGAGGGTGAAACCTTGCGCCCCAGGGTGTTAGGCTGAAAGGACACGAAGAGGGCTTCTGTCTTTCTGGAGGGCGCTGTGCAGATGCGTAAGGCCCTTCTTACATCCAAGAGGTGCCATTGGTGTTCGAGCCTGTGTGATGGATGTGAGCAAAAATTTGGGAGCACCAGCTCTTGGGTTCTATGGAATGTCAAATTAACTTTTGGAATGAAGGTAGGATCTGATCTGAGAACCACTCTACATGAATGAAAAATGCAGAGGTCTTTGCGCACTGATAATGCAGCTAGTTCAGAGATTCTTTGGGCAGATGTAATTGCTATCAGGAAAACTACTTTGTGGATTAGAAATCAAAGTGTCGTGGTCCTTAGTGGCTCGAAAGGACCTGTAGTAAGGGCCAATAGTACCTTATTTAAGTCCCAAGTTGGATATCGGTGCACTACGGGGGCTTCAAGTTCTTGGCACCGCGCAGAAAACTGAAAATGCGAGGGTGATGAGATATGGAGGTAAGATCATCCCAAGATATAACCGAAGCCAGGGCCGCCACCTGTCTCCACAGAGTATTGGGCGATAACCCTTTGTTTAGGCCCTCCTGTAAAAATTCTAAAAACTGCACTACTGATGGGGAAGTGGGGTCGATCTGAACCCTCTGGCACCAACGGCAGAAGCTAGACCAGGTGGCCTCATAGATTCGGTTCATCGAAGGACGTCGAGCTGACTGAATAGTGTGAATAACTTGAATAGAAAGATGTTCATCTCTCAGATATCGCCATTCAACTTCCATACGGCTAAGTTTAGCCATTGTGGGTCTGGGTGTAGCACTGGGCCTTGAGACAGTGATATGACTGATGATGGGATCCTCCACGGTGGTACCGTCGAGAGGTCCTTCAGGTCCACGAACCATGCTCGCCTTGGCCAATAAGGAGCCACTAATAGTAGGTCCGCTTTTTCTTCCAGCAACTTCTGAATCAATTTGGGGATCACAGGGAGGGGAGGAAAGGTGTATAGCAGTCGGGTAGGCCAGTGACATCTGAGGGTGTTCACGTCCTCCGCTACCTGCGATGAGTAATGAGAAATGAATTGGGGAAGCTGTGCATTGAGTGGGGAGGCAAACAGGTCGACAACCGGTTGGCCCAACCTCCGAGTAGCCTCCAGAAAGATCTTGGGGCCCAGATGCCACTCTGATTGGTCTAACATGGCTCTGCTGAGCCAATCCGCTTGTACATTTGCTATTCCAGATATGTGCTCTGCCTTTAGAGAGAAAAGGTGGATTTCAGCCCACAGGAATAATCTTTCTGCTTCCCTCATTAGTAGATTGGAATGAGTGCCCCCTTGTTTGTTGATATGGGCCTTTGTAGTTATGTTGTCTGTTAAGACGAGCACGTGTTTGCAATGGAGATGCGGGAGGAATTGTCAGAGTGCCAAGTACACCACTCTCAGTTCTAGCCAGTTGATATGGTGTGCCTTCTCTGAATCCATCCAAAGGCCTTGCACTGTATGTGATTGGAAGTGGGGCCCCCATCCCACTAGACTGGCGTCTATTGTAACAATCGACCTGTGTGGATCCTTGAAAGGGCATTCTTTGTTGATTTCGGGTCGTGTCCACCATCATAGGGACCTGAGGACAGTTGATGGAACTTTTACGCGAGTCTTGGCATCGTCTCTCCCGGCACGTTGGTATGGCAACAGGATCCACTGCAGTGTTCTTGCATGGAACCGGGCCCAAGGGATAATAGAAACACAAGAAATAATTTTTCTGAGCAATTTAGAAGATACATAGTTGTACTTTCCTAAGAGTTCTGATCTGTTGAGCGAAATCTCTAATGCTTTCTTGTCTGTCGGGGAGAGGAAAACTTTGCCTTCCAGGGTGTCAATGATGGTGCCACGGTGAATGAATCTAGTAGAGGGTGTTAAATGACTTTTTGACCAATTGATTAAGAACCCATGTTGTTGTAGGGTTACGAGTGTAGTTAGAGTGTTCGAATTTGCTTGATTGATGGAAGATGCCAGAATAAGAATGTCATCCAAGTAGCATTGAAGTTGGATGGACCGATCTCTGAGTGATGCTGCCACGGCAGCCCAGACCTTTGTAAAAGTTCTGGGAGCTGAAGCTAGGCCAAATGGGAGAGCAATATATTTGTAGTGGACGTTGTTGTAACAGAAACGAAGAAATTTGAAATGTGAGGGCCTAATTGGGATATGTAAGTCATCTTCCGTGATGTCTATGGAGGTAAGGACATCGTTTTTTCTGATGCTGAGTAAGATGGATTGGAGAGTGGTCATTTTAAATTTTCGGTAAACTAAATATTGGTTTAGATGTTTTAAGTCCAGGATTGCCCTCCATCCCCCTGAACTTTTAGGGACCACAAAGAGTTGCGAATAAAATCTAAGGCATTTTTGATTAGAAGGGATGGGTTGTATGGCCCGGATCTCTAGTAGATGTGCTATGGCTGTGTCCATGAGAAACCTTTTTTCTGCGTTCCTGGAAATTGGGGACTTCATAAAAAAAATCCAGGGGAGTGGAGCTGAAATCCAGTGCCAGACCAAATCGTACTGTATTCCTGACCCATGCGTCAGTGGTAGAAGAGTCCCATTCATTAGCAAACCTTTTTAGGCAACCGCCAAGGGGAATCTCGTTGTGGTCATTACTTGGACCTGCAGAAGGGCCTAGATCCTGTTCCTTGAAATTGTCTCCTAGGATGGAGTCCCCTTCTATATTTGTCCCCAGGCTTCTGGGAACAGATATCAATTCTATCTGTCTGTTGTCTGAATCCAGGCTGTCTTTGAAATCTTGGATAGTAGGGTTGGTAGAAGAGGAAAAAGGAACCCCTATGAAAGGGCTGTGGTGATCTGGACTCTGATGAAAAAGAAAGGGAAGAATTTTCTTTTTGGTTCTGGTTTCAATTAGGAGGGGTTCAAGGCACTGCCAAATAGTTTGCTCTCTGAGATGGGAGCTGAGGCAAGGCACCACTTGTGCTTGACGTCTGCCTGCCAATGCCTGAGCCGAAGTAACCTTCTAGCCACAATTTGGGAAGCAATGGCCCTAGAGGAAAATGTAACTACACTGAAGATAGCATCTCCCGAAAACTCTGCAGCCACATCTTGAGGCTGGAATGGTATCCCTCAGATGGTGGAGCCATCTGAGAGATGATCTGGTGAAAAAGGAGGCAGCTGTGGCCGCTCTGATGGCCCATGCATCCGAGATGTGTGCCCTGCAGAGGGCTAGTTCTGCCCTCTTTTCCTCAGGCTTGAGAGCCTCTTCAGCTTCACTTGGGATGGCTGAGGGAGATGCAAGCGCAATGATAGGCTCGTCCACTTCCGGAGTGTTTAGAAATTTAGAGAACTCAGGTGCCAAATTATAGTATTTTTTATCATATCCTGTGGGAGCGGGATATGAGGCTACTGCAGCCCATTGTTTTTGCACTAAATTGGAAAACATGTGTGGCACAGGGATAACCTCTGCCTCAGTGACTGGTTGAGAGAATATGAGATCCTCTGCTTCCTCTGGAGTATTTGGTGGGGGAGGGGCACCCGTATTATCCAGCCATGCGGTGTTCTTGGCCTTAAACAGCAGGGATTTAAATAATTGTGGGAAGAATAATTCTGTAAATATGGGGAGGTCAGGTGAGAGGCCTTCATCATCAGACATCCCCCTTTCTAGCGGATCCACCTCTGACAATACCTGGTCAATGGTGTGTATCGACCCCTCCTCCATTTGATCCATTGGATCCCCTTGATCTCCCATATCCTGTGTGTACTGAGGGTCTCTGACAGTAGGCAATGATAGTTCTGGGGGGGGGGGGACCTGATGAAGATGTGGATCCGTGATGCCCAGAGATCGTTCAGAAAGAGATCCGCAAACCGAAGCTGAGGGTGTTCGTCTTGCCTGGATAGCCTGTTGAATGCCTGTTGATATGCCCTTCTGGATAGCTAGTTCCATCCACACCCTCATGTTGGCAGGGATTTCCTCCGGAAGTTCCCCCTCTTGTCTGAGGCCAGCTGCAGTTGGCGTGAATGTTGCCTCTGGAGCCCTCCTTGGGGAGAGAATGTTAGAAAGAGGTTGGGGAGGTTGTATCAATATGCTGCTCCTTCTGGATAAAGCCAGAGGGGCAGTTGGAGGGTTCTGGGCCTGTGAGGTAGAGGGTATGATGAGTGGTGAAGAGGTGGGTTGTGCAGCTGTTTGTGTACATTTTTCCACCTACCTTTCTAATGCCTGATGGCATCTGCGTGCATCTTTCTCTGCTGCCTTAGAGGTCTTTTTGGGCTCCATGGACTTATCTCTATTTTTAGCAGTTACTCTAGATCTGGAGTTGTGGTTGCTTGCCATGGTAATGGCTTTGATAGATTAGCAATGTAAAGAGGCTATGAAATTAGGTGGCTGGAACACCTAGGGGCTTGCTCCCTTAAGGGGCAGGGGATCCTGGAATAAATAGTTCCCTGATGTCTTTAGCAAATGTTGTCTCTTTGTTCTGTTTTGCTTTGTTATCTCTCTCTCTCTCTCTCTCTCTCTGTATGGTATTCAGCTTTGTTCGGGTGTTTTCCCATGTCATTATAGTTGTGCTTTTAAAGTTGTAGCAAGGTTTTGGCAGAATCTCATCTGCCATCATAGGCTTCTGTATTGTGTTCGTCTGTGAGTCAGACTTTCACAGCTGTTTCAGTTTTAAATTTGGGGCTAGCCTACTGCTGTGCCAGAATGGTTTTTTCTTCATCCTGATTGGTTGGGAGTCTTGGTCTGTGTTTATTGATCTTGGACTTTGCTGTGTTCTGCTTGTTTGGTGTTTCTAATATCTTCTGTCTGTTTTGTGGCTTTTTTTTGTCTTGATTGGCTGGCAACATTGTGTTCCTGTATTGGAGACTTTTAGTGTGGTTTGGCTCCAAGTAAATGGACGGCTATCATTTATTAGGAAGCTAGGTTTCATCTGGGTGCCTGGTTGGGGTGTGTTTGAGCTGGAGGTATCGGGGGGGGAACTGTTTGTGCCCAGGTGTTTGTCTGGCTTGTGGCGTGGAGATTTTTTTGTTTGTGAGTGCAGGCTTCCAAATAATTGACAGTCTGGTGGAATCATCTCTTCTAATCATGCTTTCAGGTCTTTTTTCAATCTCTATGGCTTCTCTGATAATTCTGTGGCTGGGGTTTTCTATAGTGGCTAGGGTTTTGGTGCCACTGAAGTTGATGCTATGACCTGTGGCTTTCATGTGTTAGACTAGTGAGGAAGTGTGTTCCAGCTTTTTTACTGCATTTTTGTGTTCATCCAGGTGGGTACTTATTCTTCTATTGGTCTGTCCAATGTATGTGGCAGGACATGATGCACAGGGGACTTCATATATGCCTTGGTTTTCCAGGTCAATTTTATCTTTGGGGTTTCTTAGGATGGCTGCTATTTTTCTGTCTGTTTTGAAGACAGTCTTGATGTGATGCCTGTGTAGTATCTTACTGATTTTGTCTGTAGTACCTCTTATGTAGGGCAGGACAGCTGTTCCATAAGTGTGTTCATCTTCTAGGTCTCCATTATGTCTCAGTGTGTTTTTGTGGATCAAGCCGGTGATTTTGCTTTTGTGGAAGCCGTTAGCCCGCCAGTACTTAAGTTAGGGTGCATAGTTCAGTCTTTATGTGTGTCTTGTCTGCCAGGCGTTTGGTTCTGGTGATTAGTGTTTTAGACACGGAGTTTATCTGTGCTAGGTGGTGGTGGGATTGGGCGTTGAGGTAGCGGTTGGTGTGTGTTTTCTTCTGGTATGTGGTGTGTCCTTGTGTGCCATCTGTTTTCTTTGTAGATTAGTACATCTACGAATGGTAGTTGTTTGTTTGTTTCCATTTCCATGGTGAACTTGATTTTGGGGTGTTTGCTGTTTAGGTGTGTTAGGAAACCTAAACAATTTCCTAAACAAGTCTCTGAAAAAGGCTTTTAGCTTCAGGGCAGATTGGAAAGATAAGTCTCCGCGTTTATGAAGCTTTAGCCTCAGGAGGAGCGAAATGACTTTTGGAGGTTCCATGGGGTGGTGGGGGTAGTTGGTGACAGAAACTATGGTTTTACCTGACCTGGGAAATAAATTAGCTAAATCAGCTAAATCGCCAGTGTTCTGTTCAGACCAGGAAAACAATAACACAACCTGTCTGAAGAAAGGCTGAGCTAAAACTGGGGACCCTAAGGAGGAGTCTTGTGGAGGAGGGGGAGTGTCCTCAAGTTTAAGACCAGCCTTCCTAGAAGAGATTGAAGCACCTTCCCATCACTGGATGCTCTGAACAGCTTATGGGAGAACTGTCTGATAGTAACTGTCTGAATTCTTGTAAACTCAAGCTTGCGTCAATAATAATATCCTAGCCAACTTTATCTTCTATAAGTATCTTTTATAATTGTCTTCAAGTTTTCCAAGCACCTCCATTGACTTGTGCTCAAACACTGAAATTTTAGTTCCATTACTACTTTTTTCATGGGCAGTCTGTTTTTAACTTCATGGAAGTATTGGTTTGTTTTTCTTGTGATTTAAAGTGTTTTCCTGGCAGGCTTGGGGGTGGCTCTGAGTGTTTTTCAGTGTCATCTATCATGGCCTTGGAAGTGTACTTTCTCTGTAGCAGCAGCTGCCCTCTGGAATAAGATTCCCCTGGAGATTCAGATGGTCCCATCTTACTGTGTTTTGAAGGCTTGGAAGACCTGGCTCTTTGCCAGGCCTTTGGTGAAGGTGTATGAAGGTCCCTTAAGATTATGTGGTTTAAATTTTCTTTGTTCCCGTATTTGTGCCTTGTGCAGAATCACCAGGAGTTGGGCAGCATATAAAATGAATAAATAAATAAAACCAATTTCCAGCAGCATTGCAATTGAAAAGCATCAATTTGCCTTAATTTAGTCTTTTGACAATTTAGCTTTTAGAGTATTATATAACAGCTAGCAGCTGAATGTACTATTGTCCCATATTCCTGTGATGACTCAGCACCAAGATATTTTGTCTATATTTATCTCTGCCTTTCTTATTGACTTTGGATTTCTCATGGACATCTTTGCATGAATTCCCTTAATTTCAACCTTTTGCTTAAATATATTTGTGGTGCCCATTTTATTATCATCCTTTATTTCTTTAAAGAGGCAAATGGGTTTTCTCAAAACACTATTGATCAAATGTAATACTTAAATCAATCTTCTCTTTAGCTTCATTGCCTAAACATATAGAGTACTATTGACATATACTGTTGGTCTGATGGTTTTATTTTCTTTCTCAAGTTTGTTTTCATTTTGTAAGAAGAAATTTGTGATCTGAGCCTCAGTCATCACTATGTCTTATTTTTATTTCTTGATTGAATGGAGCATCTATGATCATCTATTTTTCCTTCAAAAAGTTATTGGCTTATCCATTTGTTTGATGGCGGACTCTGGAATATTGCAGATGCATAAAATTTTGAGTTAAAAATCTAATGCGGATAGTCCTCAACTTACAACCATTCACTTAGTGATCATTCACAGTTGTAACGGTAGTGAAAAAAGTGATTTATGATTGTTTTCACACTTATGACCATTGCAGCATCCCAAAGGACACATGATTTCAGAGAAAGCTCCAAGTGCAGATTTCAAAGCGCTGGAGCTGCCAATAGCCAGAAGGCCACGAAATGACCGATTGCTCTCAAAATAGCAGGTCCCGCCTGACAGCTGTCAGGTGGCGTTGAAAACAGCAGTCCCACCCTGCAGATATGAGCCCAGGGCTTCACACTGTGTAAAGACTACTGTCTGACCCTCTTTCCAGCTATCTTCTCAAACGCAAATATAACCAAAAACTCCTATATCAAAGGCTTCAATTCCGAAGTGGAAGAGCTGTCAAAAACATGTCTGACTGAGCAGTAGACGGAGTTGAAAACTGGGGACCATAGGTGAGGAGGCGTGTCCTTAGTTTAAACAACTCAGTCTAAAGAGCAGGCAGACCAGAGTCATCCCACGTCTGGATCCTATCGACACCACTCTGGAGAATTCAGGCGCTTTGCAACTGGTTTACATTTATGAGAGCTGCAGTGTCCTTGTTAGCCTTCAAGATTTTCTTCCTTTGCTTTGCATCTTTCGGCTGTCATAAGTAACGGGGGGGTGGAGGGGGGATATGGTTATGGGAAGTGAGCTGGAGGTGTTACAAAACAGATCTGTATAAGTTGGGCGGGGGAAGGTTCTTGCTTAGGTTTCTATCCTATGTTATGCGCAGCCACAACTCTTTATCAAAATATGTCAAGGTCAACAGACAGAGGCCTCATCACCACCTGGAGATGCCCACATGATGATATACACAACTTTTAATTGAACTATTGGGGGTGGGATCGTTGCCATCACTTTGTATATGTGATTTACATGCTCTTTTTCTCAGATTCAGAATTCTTTTGTTGCTACCACTTGATTTCCAGTAAAAGATATCTTTTCTCTAATTAATGGAGTCTAAGTATTTCTTTCTTGGATTTTGAATGGAGCACCAGTTGACATTCCTGGAGTCACATGATCACAATTTGTGACCTTCACACTTGCCTTCTGGCAAGAAAAGTAAATGGGGGAAGCCAGATTCACTTACAACCACGTGATTCACTTAACATCTGCCTTGATTCACTTAACAATTGCAACAAAACTGTTATAAAACGGGACACAACTTGCTTAACAACTGCCTCATTTAGCAACAGAAATTTGAGGCTCAACTGTGATTGTAAGTCAAGGACTACCTGTAATAATAAACCCCGATTTTTTTCTTGGGGATATAAAAACAATCATTCAAAACACAAAGTAAGTTAACAATCATGCTATACTTTTAAGAAATCAATGTACAAACCTCTAGGAAAATCAACCTCGATATCAAGATCTGGCTCATATGGGACATCAGGCAAGCTTGTCTGTGTTTCTGTCACAGAATTAAGCAATTCTGTCTCAATTATTACATCTATAATTGAATAAAGACAAATATGTCACCATTCTTTTTGGTATAATTCATGCAATATTCAATAAAGGTGATTTAGAGCCATAAAGCAGCAAAAGCAGGCAAGCATACAAGAATATCTGATATCAATGGGCCTTTATATGTTAACGTGATCTGTAATATTTAAGGAAAGAAAAAAGTCTATTAACCCAAGAATCAATCACTGCATTTCAAAAGAATGAAAAAAGCAACAAGACTGTTGAAAATTAGATGAAGTGATTTATTCATATATATAAGTTCAAAAACCAGAAATTAACACCACAATGCTCCCAGGCACCTTGATATACATTATCCTCTTCCCAGATAGTGTTGATGAGATACCAAAACCAAATAAAAATGAGTGTTAGAACTTTAAGATTTTTTTCATTAGACTGAATACCTATATCCATTTTTCTCTCTGTGTCAGTATATGTGTGTGCATTTTGATAACTGTATTACACAGCTCCTATAATGACCTCATGAAATACCAAAGTTTTACAGATCAAATATACTCCCATAAAGAAATCCAAGTTTGTACTAGATATACTTCATATCCAAAAGTATATCCCAAATACAAGAAATTATAATTTAAGGGAGGAAAACATTATAATATCTGAATTTACCTTTGCTAAGAGTGGGAATGTATCCAGCTGCATATCTCTACATACAAGAACAGATCCTTATTGACTTCATCCCTTAGGATGGAGGGGGTTGCTATTAGTAATGCTGAGTCATTTCTTCCAGAAAAAAAGTAGAAAGGAACAAAATTATCAATACTGTCCTAACTGAGTTTGTTCGGGTTCCAATGGTTGCACAGGTTGTTTTCTGCTAGATTTAAATGTGTTGTGCCATGCGTTTATGAAGGTTGTGTACAAGTCTGCACATGTCTCACTGCATATATAACACTGAACAACAAAACAGAGCAACGTTATCATTCTATACTTTTCAGGAATATCGGAAAATCTCAGGATTTTCAACAAACTCAACATATATGCACACATTTAAACCCAGGAATACATTAAGACAGAAACTTGCCCACCCCAAGGATAAAACACCCAGACACAAACAGGCATTGTTGTATGTGCAGTGCAATGCAATGAGATATGTGCAGCAGACCTGTACATTGAGGACTAAACAACCACTTCACAAACGCATGGCACAACACAGGTGAACAAACTCATCAGGATAGGATTCAGCAGTACATCTGCAACTGAAAGGCAAGAATCACTGTGATGACCCGGAGTGTAACACAAACGTAACAAAATCCAAAACGTAAATCAATGTCCTCTAATGCCTCAAACTTGGCCCCACTGTTCAAGAATTCTCAGTTGGAGATAAAACTTATTCAAGAATAGTCTTCAAAAGAAAGCAATGCAGTCCGAACTTAATGAGCAGATAAAGGTGAAATAAAAAACCAAAACAAACTAAAATGAAGGAAATTTCACAACGGACTAGGATAAGTAATTATCAACTTCAAGGAGATAACAAGGCACAGTCTGTTGGAAGGTCTCCAACCAAGATAACTTTAGCCCAAAATAAAACACGCTTTGCTTCTGGCAACGCTGTGTTTTAACTTATAAACTATTCTCTCCAGCTGCAACCAATGAGGGAGATCAGGGCCGCTTCCTCACTTGTAAGCTGAATTGTTTCCTTATCTGTTCCTCCCTGCATGTCCTAGGATGAAGAGAGGATGGGCCTGGTTCTTCCACTGACAGCCCAGCCAGCCTCTGCCCTTCCCCAGCCTCCTCCACAACCTCTGGAGCCACACCTCCACTCCCTGTCGGCTGTTTCTCCTCTCCCTCAGAGTCCAACTCTAACAAGGGCATGACAGTCACTCTTTTGAAGACAGCAAACAGAGGTGGTATTCAGCAGGTTCTGACCAGTTCTGGAGAACTGGTAGCGGAAATTTTGGATAGTTCGGAGAACCGGCAAATACCACCTCTGACTGGATATTTTACAGTATCCTTCCCCTGCCATGCGTGTAAACAGTAGTAAAAAAATTTGAATCCCACCATCAGCAAGGTTCACATTCTCGACAGAGAACGACCACCGGTTTGAAAAGTGAATCAAGGAGGCTATATATGTTAAAACTGAACATCCCTCCCACAACAGGGGAGTGATACGACTCCATCTCCCTTCTATTTACAACACAGCCCTTTCAGCAAGAAGGATTTGGAACTTTCCCAAGAAGGCTCAATACCCATTTGCACTCTGATTCTGAGGATACTGATAACCCCTCAAGTGGCCTCAATGATTGCAAAAAATATAAATCCTTCCATTCAGCCCCAGGTAGTCAGTCAGAACTAGAGTAACTTCTTGAATTAGAAGCAAAATGTTGTTGGGGGAAGGACATTCATTTTGAGGGAAAGAAGCACTTTTGGAATAATCCACATTCATATAACACTCATTCCATCTATTGATTTACCACACATATTTCTTAAATATCCATTTCCGCGTTGTTCAACTAATGCATGTGTTTTCATGACATATTCATTTCTCATTTCTGTATAACAATGAGGGCAGAGGCACACTCCTGTATCTAACAGTTTTGGCTTCTTCTGAGGAACATAAACTCCTTAGAAGAAACCACATACTACTCACACTTTTCTTTTATCCATCTTCCTATCTTTAATAAACATTTTTGTAAGTACTCCAGTTTTTCATTACTATGCCTAACATTTTCATTTTATGTTCTTAAACACATTACCTTGGTCTTTAAGACATTCACTTTCAGACCCATAATCCATTATGCAATTTATCCAACATTTGCTATAAATCAATCAATCTCAGTTTGGCGGTTATACAAAAAAGTATGCACAAATTCATATTCCCAACAAACATATTTCTAATGTTAACACAAGTATTCCTTATTCCTTATGTCTTTATGTATTATACATCTTTGTCTTATATTCTGCACATTGTTGAGTAATTTACTAAGCACTGAATTTATTCTCACCCGTGCCATACTTCTATCCTGTACCACTCTTACTCCATTTAGCAACTTGCTTATAACCCTGTATTCATGCTAAACATTCTATAATTTCAGCCTCTTAATCACATGTGTTCTCTAAATCAAACAGAACAATAGCTTCTATTTCTTTTTATACCTAGTTCATATTTTCAACTTGAGTCACTCAAGTTTTAGTTCATTCTACTTTCTTTCATGTATTTTCTTTTCCTGATATTGCAATTGCAGAAATTGTTGTATACTGTGCTAATTGACTGATGCAAAGATTATACTGTTTTATGTAAGTAAATCAAAGATGGACAAAATATGACAGAAAAACTAATGACATAACCTATAGACCACCAATATAGGCAAAACAAAAATTAAAGACATACTTTGGAGCTCTGCAGGTTCTACGTGCTCTTTTTTTTCAGAAATATCTTCTGTTACATTCAATGAGTCCAAAGTCTCTTCAGGACTGGGAGGATTTTTATTTTTTAGTTCTACTATTGCTTCAAGTATCTTCTCACTGCTATCCAACGTAGTAGGCAGAAAAATTGGAACTGGAACCTAGAATATAAATCATAATATTGTAACTTTGCTAAGTGCCGTTATAAAAAAAATGCAGAGAAAAACTGGATAAAGCCCTTGTTGCATTTAATGATATTTAATAACATCTGTTATTACATGCACCTCTGAATTGATGGTATATGATGTCATTTTGGTGTGAAAAGTACCCTCTGAATCCTAGCCTACTTACAATAATATAAACATGCATGGGTTCAAACATTAGTTATGCTTGTGGCAGATTGGCCCTAATCAGTACTACCTAAGTAAGCAGGAAATGCTACCTCTGGCAAGAGGCTTCAGTTGATCGCTTATTTTCCCTGAATTTATAAAAAAATATAATCAAAGTATTGTGAAAGCCTCAATTAACCAAATCTCTGACCGACATTTCTACTAAGTAGCTATAGACAGATCTATTCATGATTTAGAATGAGAAGTAGAAGAGAAATAATGATATTAACAAATGAAATGAATAGAAGACAAATAGATGTGTTGTGAGTCTATGAAACTTACAGAAAAAGGATTGATATACTGCATATGAATAATGATAGTCTAATCTTGTGGAGTGGTAGATGAGAAATGCAGAGAAGTGAAGATGCAGTCTTAAATTATGAATTAAACGGCTAACATGTATATCAGGAAATACAAACTGACGTCATCTAGCTTGTTGCAGGCATTTATAGCAATAACAATAGCACTTCAACTTATATATCGCTCCGTAATACTTTCAGCATTTTCTGAGAGATTTACAAAAAGGCACTTATTGGCCCCAACAATCTGGGTCTTCATTTTACCCACCTCGGAGGTATAGAAGGCTGAGTCAACCTTGAACTGGTCAGGATCAAACTCCTGGCTGTGGACAGAGTTAGTCTACAATACTACCTTCTAACCACTGCACCATCACACCACAGCTTTTATATGAAAATTAGGAATCTGTTAGTTAGCGTTAGCTGCATATTATGGTCTAATAACGCATAGTGGTAAAGGCAGAGTCAGATATGAATGTTTGGGGGAAAGCCATAAAGGGTATAAGAATTTTGAAAATTGTTTACAAGAGTAGATGGTATAACTGAAGAAATGTAAAATATAATTGGATGTATTTTTGAGAACATAAACTGGTTTAAAATGAAAATCCCAATTCTGGTATACAATTGTCTCATTTTTAAAAGCTGTGTTCTAGTTTGGGTTATCCATAGCAAGACACTTACAGGAGATAAAGGCTCCATGTTATATTTTTTTCTTTTTAATTAATTTTTAAATCACACACAACAGAAAGATGCTTAGAGTGAGGTTTTAACTGGTCCTCTCCATCTTTTACAAATCTTTTCACAGCAGCTTATTAACAAATTGCTGCATTGAGTTTATAATGACTTGACAATAAACAAGCCTAGCGTGCAGGCATTTAATGTTCTTCACAAAGCTTTAGCCAATCCCTGATCACCATTTCATCCCTTGGATGATCTTCATGGAGATACCTTTTTTAAAAAAAAAAACAGATTCCCTTTTTGTGGCCTGGCCCTTCCCCCTTTTGTTCGCTCTGTGTTATGTAGCAAACCTGAAGCCAAGATGAATCACACTGGGATAGGATTAATTCCAGCATCTCCCAAGCAAAGAATGCTGCTATGGTGCATTCTGATAGAACCAAGAGAGAGAGAAATGAAATTCAAATGTAGACTGAAACCTAGCTTACTGGAACAGGAACCGTTGTAGGAACTGGTACAGTTTGACTATACATATGCATAGGAGCAGGTACATATACAGGTACAGGAACAGGCAAAGGGACATATTCTTTTTTCCAGTCATCATCTACAATAGAAAAACAATTTGTAATGTTACTTGCCACCACTACATACATCTCATAAAGTGATCCAACCGTAATTGTATACTCTGACAGAATGCCATACATAAGAACAGTTCCTTGTATTAAATAAATACCTGTCTGACAAGATTTTGTTTGCATGTGGGGTTTACAGAAGGTAGCTTTTGTCATCGTTAGCGGTTTGCAGAGAACTGCTTTGTTCTTCATTTCTTTATTTGGTGTAGGGGAAGGAGGTGGAGCTGATCCCTGCAGATTAAAAAAAAAGTAAATTTTAGAAAATGTAAATGATAAAATAAACTACATTTCAACTTATTTTTCAGGAGGTAGATTCATTTGAGAAAAAGAATCCATGAAGGAAAGGGGAAAGCTTCTCAAAATCCCTAGTCAACTTTTTAAAAAAATTAAGTACCTTAATTTATCCTTTTCAGGAAGAGTGATAGTTTTGGGTTCTAAACAAATTAGCTATTTAAAATTATTACAAAAGTGATTATTATGTACTCATTAACATAAATATGTGTTTTATTACTATTTGCAACTGTGCATTTGTATGTTATCTCAGCTATTATATATTTATGATATTTATCACTGAGAGCTATATAATATCAAAAGTATAAATGTACAGTCTTCTCATTGTAACTTATGTCATGTTTACATTATTGAAAATACCCATGAAGAAAACACAACCTGTCATGTCTTGTCATATTTTTTAAATGTACAGAATATGCATCCTAGCAAATGAGGAATTATATGGGTTAAGACAGAAAACAGTATATAATTCTCTCTACAAGATGTGAGGAATTTTGTTATCCTAGCTATGAATTTTGAATATTTTATGATTTACTTACTGTGTTTTTTGTTCGGGGAGTTTGGCTACTTTGATCTATAAACAGAAGACAACAACCTTAACATAATTTGTAACTTACAATAATTTGTAGATTATAAATACCATAATATTTTATCTTAGTCATGCTAGTTTTACAGATTACTCAGTAAAAAGATTAAACAGTAAGCTGTTTTCAAAACAACTAAGTTTGTGAATGTGGGGAAAGTGGCATGCTCGCCTTTCTTTTGGAAGAAAAATTGCTAAATTATGTAGCCAGATAGTTATTAATACTAGCCAATTTCATTTGATGTATGTTAATCTAGACCAAGGATCTTCCAACTTGACAGCTTTAAGACTTGTGGATTTCAACTCCCAGAATTCCTCCTCCAGTCATGTTAGCTCAGGAATTCTGGGAGTTGAAGTCCACAAGTCTTAAACTTGCCAAGTTTGAATACCCTTGATCTAGAGCCGACCTTCAGTAATCCTATCTCCTGGGTTGAAGTAAAGTGTGCCCTGTTATCTGATACTAGAAAAGAGAAGCTTACACAACTTGCCATTTTTTTGAAATGTTAAAAAAAAAAATGTACACAGTTGTTGGTAAAACAACAACAACAACAAAAAAGAGGAACATACCATAATGTAAGTTTTCTGGTCCTTTTTGTGTTGCCATATTCGGTTCGTTTTGTTGACAGTAGAAACGCAGAAGGCAATGCTGATCACAAAAGTTCTTCATTTCCCCTCTCCACTGTACTTTCTCTTTAAGAGTTCCTTGAATTTTGCAGCAGTCACACCTTGCAGCCTTAAAAAAAATAATACTATTAGCTAAATGATTTGGAAAAAGAATTACTGGTACATAAATGCTTTAATCTAATGTTGGTTTATGAAGTTCTCCAAGACTTGAGTAATGCCTTTTGCTCTCTCAGAAGACATAAAATCTGAGAAGAGGCTTCTGGTAGTGTATCTTTACCTAGGAAAACCCTCTCTAATTCTGTAATGCAGACAAACCTAAGCAGCAAAATAAGAACTTAACAAATTCAAAAGGGATTGATACTCTTCTGAACAAAATTAAGTGTACAAGAAAGGTTCCTATGTTTTCATTGATTGACAAGGAAAGCATTGGTAATGCTTGTAGTAAAAAGCCTATATGTTATTGGGCCAAGAGGTATCTTGAGGAGTCAAATGGGTAAGAACATTTTCCCTTATCTAAAACAGCTTACCATCCAAAGCATGTATCATCCCCATATGTTTGACCTTCCAGAAACTGGTAAAAACATTATTCTTAAAATAGAAGTAGCTTTCTCAAGAATAGTGGGACACGTTGCCATTTGAGAAGCTTAGACATCTTTATTCAGAAAGGAAGTATCTCTGCATTGCTTTCTTTTCGCTACCAACTCAAAGATTGATATCCACTTGAATTGAAAGTGGGCAGGCACAATAAAGATGCAGTCATGACCAGAAAAAAACAGAAGTGCAATACAGGCTAGGAGACCTTTAAAAAAAAGCAACATCTGGCATGGAACAGATGGCATGGCAAGCACTAGGACAAATCACTGGATTAAAAAGAATGGAGCAAAGAAATTATTTCATTTGTTAATCTCTTCAGAAATGCAAAAGGACAACACTGAGGTCTATCTAACTTTGCTATTGGGATGTTTCCTTAGCTTAAAATCTGAGCCCGTTTTAATACTAGAAAGTGAGGAAAGGGAAAAGTCAGAGAGCAGTGAGGAGGATTATCTCCCATTTTAAGGGGAATCACTGTCCTTTTTTCTAAGCGCTAATTAATATTACTAAGATTTTGCCTTCAATGAATATTTTGCCTTCAATCAATCACAGGAAAATAGGCAAGTTAGGTATAGGCATATACACAATGAGAATTAGACAAGGTATCCTTGATTAATGACCACAATTGAGCCCAAAATTTCCATTCCTAAGCAAGACAGTTGTTAAGTGAGTTGCACCCCATCTCACAACCTTTTTGGCCACAGTTGTTAAGTGGGTCACCGCAGTTGTGATTACACAGTTGCTAAGCAAATCTGGCTTCCCCCATTGACTTTATCGGAAACCAGCTGGGAAGGTCACAAATGGGGAATCACATGACTCCAGGACACTGCAACTGTCATTAATACAATGCCAGTTGCCAATTACCCATATTTTGATCATGTGACTATGGGGGCGCTGCAATGGTAATAAGTGTGAAACCAGGTTATAAACCACTTTTTTTCAATGCTGTTGTAACTTAGAATGGTCCCTAAATGAATTTGAGGACTATCTGTAATGATCTGGCTGAAGTAGGTATGAGAGGAGCCAGAAGTAGCTGCAGAAAGGTTATCCCATTGCAAGTTTCTGCAGAGCTAAGTCTATTTCCATAGCAATAGACATATTGGGAAGGATTTCAGTGTGAATTCCCATAATGGCTTGGTCAAAATATCTTAATGAACATTCTCTTGTTGGTGCTGTGAGAACCATAAGAAGAAGAAAACAACTGCTGGAAAAGCAATTAAGTAGTTTGTTTTTTAAAAAAGCACTGCTTCTAATAGAAGAATAGAAATTAAAAGTGTGGGCGGGGGGAATGTAAAAAAATTATTGAATGGATGAAAGGAAATAATTTGTATTTCTTTGGAGCTAAGACAGAAAAAAAATAATAATACAAAAACAACTTTCTTGAAAATAACTAATACAAAGCTAGATCACTTTCTTTCCTGGACTTTTACGATAAATGAAGATAGATATCTCTACTATCAAAACAAAACAAACAACAAAAACAAAACAAAAAGCATTTTATACATTGTTTTCAATCAATAGCAAAAACTGAGAAACTGATACATGCAGGAAATAAATTATGCCAAGGACACAAAAAAATAACAAAAATCTGATACAGAGAAAATCCCTATGAAATTATGCAAAAGACATTCATAAAAGTTATCATTGCAGAAATATTCTAGTTTAATTTACGTCTAGAAAGTCAGGTTCATGTTGTTAGTAAAAGTTTGAACTATAAATATCTATTCAACATTCAGCTGAAAAGTACTTGACCATAGTATTTACTTATTTCTTGAAATGTAACTTCAACAGAAATAAATGGATTGATACAAAAATGTTTGAGATTTGAATATTAATTGTTTATTTAACCAGTATATCGCATTCTAATTTTAATAACTGCTTATAAAGAAACACACACACACCAATATTGTGGAAGATATCACTAATAATTTAGATATGTACTTAGCAATCATTATAAAAGAGGGTTAAATATTGTAATACCTTATAGTACCAATCTTGAAATTTCCTGCAACACTCTTCACTACAGAAATCTCTTACTACTCCATCAAGTTCCTTGGATGCTCCCTTTTTACAGAGTTGAGAACAATAATTGCAAGTAACACAGCGTAATCCTAACCGTCTTGCAAAATCTTGTTTATATAGCAGCTTGCAACCTGGAAAAAAGGAAGCAGCAGAGATGATTTGTCAAAATTATGTGCCACCTCAGATCTGGTTTCTTAGTTGGATTTTTTTTGCATTTAATTTCATAGCTTTTACAATGTTGTCTTGCAAAGTGGTGACACCATTTTTGAGAAAGAATTTTAGCCACTCCCCAAGTCAATAATCATCAACCTTTTTATTTATTATATATGGTTTGCACATTCAACTTTAAGGTCCTTGTTATCTTTAGATTTCATTATAGGTAGTGCTTGAATTACAACTGGTTGCTTAGTGACCATATGAAGTTACAACAGATCTCCCTAGGAGTGCTTACTACCTGGATTCAAAATTTCAATGGCCATTTGAGGTGTCCCTTATTGTGTTTTATGACAGTTTTGCTGAAAACTGGCATTTGCTTCAGTTTTCAGCAAAACTAGCCCATATTGAACCATTGGTTCTCTTAATGGCGATGGCATTCACTTAATAAATGCTGCAAAAAAATATATGATAAAATCAGTAAGTCACAAGCCTGCCTGTTATAGTCATTACTCAAGGACTGCCTGTACTATATTTATATACTCACTTATATCCAGGTTAAAAAGTAAAAAGTGTATCATATACTCTCAAAATATATTTATTTTGAGGCCCTGTAAAAAGCTATTTGGCTCTAAATGAACAACAGTGTAAACTAATTCTAGCAGTTATTACAAGAAACAAAATATTGTAGTATTTTTCATGTACAAATAGTTCTATTGTTTCTAATGAGGTCAGTCTTTTTTTTTACACTGAATCTAGCAAAAGAGGAAAAATACCCACTCAGCTGGAATTGGAAAAGTGTTTAAGATTTTATAAGCAGTTATAGACTTAAACCAACATTTTCTGAGCAGTATATAATCTACCCTGCTTTGAAATGAGAGCTCAAGGAAATCTCATTCACTCATTGCATTGTAATGCAGGAATATAAGGTGATAAAATAGTCCAAGAGCAGCGTAGAATATAGGAACTATTAAATTACTATATACAGCCCCAGATCCAACAGAAAGCAGAAATAATGGGCAGCAACATGAGGTTGCTGCAAATTATGTGCAAAATCTGATGTTTTACAATGCAAACGCTCATTTCTGCTTTGGACCATACCAACATAGCTTTTGCAAATGGGGTTTGCTGATTTCCCATAAACTACGCTTACTTCAGGCAGTTATAATTGTTTATAAATAATGGCTTTGTAATCCATCTAAGCTACTTTTCCTGTCATTGCCATGGCCCTGTGCATGTCAATGTAGTGCATGCTCCAGTATGTTTCTGTTGCCTATAATGGTGACTACATTAAAATACCATATGAAAACTAAATACGGATTAGGAAGTCACTTCATTATGAGTATACAGATCATAGAATCATAGGTTTGGAAGGAACCTCAGAGGTCTTGTAGTCCAATTCCCTGCTCAAAGCAGAAGACTTTATACCATCCCAGTCAAATGATTATCCAACCTATTTTTGAAAACCTCCAGTGATGAACCACCCACAACTCCAGAAGGCAAGCTAGTCCATTGATTAATTGTTCTCATTGACAGAAAAGTTCTCCTTACTTCTGATTGGATCACCTATTACATCTTGTCCTGCCCTCTGGTGTTTTGGAGAATAAATCAATCCCCTCTTTTTTGTGACAGCGCATCAAATACTGGAATACAGTTATCATGTCCCCCCACCCAATTTTTCTCTTCATCAGCAATAGCACTTAGACTTATATACCTCTACACAATACTTTACAGACTCTTAGACTAGCTTGCTCAATGGTTCATCATACAACTCATCTTTATCACTCTACTTTGCATATTATCTAGGATCTCCATTTCTTTTTAGTATCCTGGTGACCAGAAATGTACATAGTATTCCAGTGTGGCCTCATCAGTACATGGGGAAACAGTTGACAAACACTGACTTCAATTTAAAGTAAATGACATTTCATTCTTTACACATGAACTGGACTCGACACTTACTTGCTAATATTGCTGGATCCTTGTGGTTATGGAATAGGTTGAGACAGTCTGAGATAGTTTCTATTTTAAATAATCTGTTTTGTCATTATTAATTTTTGGTTTTACTTTACACTGGGTTTCTTGTTTTATTATTGTATGTTGCCATTGAGGTGCATGATTCACCAATATAGAAGTTTAATAAATAATTCTGCACAACTCATTTCTTTTTGTTTCCTTATTATACTTCTACATGACCATACTGGCAATCATATATTCAACATACCTTCACTACAGAATGGTCTCTTGATACCAGAAAATTTTACCGTTTCATGCAAAGTCTTCTCCTCTTGACAGTATTCACAGTATGTTACTATACAATGTAGCTTCTTATAGTCATCAGAACAAATTCTGCTGCAAAACTGGTACACTTTGTTCTAGTTAAAGAAATAGAAATACCACAGTAGACAATCTGGTAAGTAACAAGGCTTCAAATGTAATGCAGATTTTACATAAATAAATAGCAAAATAGTAGAGAATAAGGAAGATGACCCAGACAAGACTGTTACCACGATCTTGTGATAAGATCTATGTCAGCTCACCAAGTCGGCCAAAAAGGACTCCACAGAAAGGCCATGACTATTTTTTATTGAGAGTTGCTAGATCAAGAGAACTTTGCAAGTTTGTTTGTGCTGTATCCCCTCCCTCTGTGAACTAAGGAGGTGCCTTTCTGGGCGGCTTCTGCATATTTTTTGCTTGTTTTTCTCTTCATTGCTTTGATAATGGATCTAACTTATATCCATCATGTTCGTCTTCCTTACTTCAATGAAAAAAGTTCATTTTACCGAAATAAAAGAATTAGTTATTAACCTGTAACTGTTACATTTTGACAGGTCATCTGTGAATTCACAGAAATAGTCTCTATACCTGTGATGGCAAAACTATGGCACGTGTGCCAGAGGTGGCACGCAGAGCTCTCTCTGTGGGGATCTACATCCCCCATGCATGCACCTCCCACCAGCCAGCTGGTCTTTGGGTCTTTGCCACGCATGTGAGGGTGGGTGCAAGTGGCACGGGGCGCATGTGTGGTGGGCAAGGGGGCAAGGCGCATGCGTGAAAAATGTGTGCACATGCATGGGGGGTGGTGCATGTGTGGGGGACGTGCACCCATTGCACTTTGGGGGTTTGCGTGCGCTTTGAGCACTCAGTGCTGAAAAGATTAGCCATCACTGCTCTATACCTATGTTGAATAAGTTCAAAACCTTACAGAGCTTAAGAACTTTGGTGGGAATCTGCTTCTCTGCCTATAATAAATATTCCTGATTGTAGCTTGTTTATTGTTCAGATTCCTGAGTCTGGCAACCAAGTGCAAAACAAAGCAAAATAAAGCTGCAGGACAAGGGAGGAAAGATGGAGAATGGGAAGCAAAGAAAAATAGACACCAGTGAATAACCATTTCAGAAAAGGAGGGAATAGTAGTAGATGGGAACTTTCAGGCAGCAATGGATAAGAAAATCATTCTATTGAAGGCTTCTAGAAACTTCCTGGCGTTTTTTTTTTAACTTGGCTTGGACTAGGATGGTCACATTTTCCCAATCGGTCTATATGTTGTGAAATTAAAGAATTTTTTCATTTTGTCTTCTAACTGTAAGTTGGTATTCATGGATGCGTTAGTAAACTGCATTCCTTACTAGCACTGATGATGTTACCTAGTTTGGGTAATGAAACATCAGCAAGAAAACAAGTAAGCTCAGAGAGCACCAAGGACCCTCATGTTAAACAAAGTGTCTAACAGCCAACTTTAAAACTGATTTTGTCTATCATGCTGAACAAACTATCCCATCAAATGAAATGATTTTGATTTTGTCTTCAGTTCTTCTGTCAGACAACACAAACCAGGGCATGGAGCATTAATAGAGATAGTCAGTGCTTTACGCCACAGGCACTGCAGTGTGCCTAATTATATTGATTTTTTTTTTTCTGGTTTATACCAGTGGCTTCCAAACCAAAGGTCTGTGCTAACAACCTACTATTATCTGGCAAACGGGTGAAGAAAAACATCTTTTCCCAAAGGAAATGATGATATTTGTGCAAACTTGTTAATTAAAGGTCCTCAAAGTAAGGATTCTTCCATTATTTATTCACCAAGTCGAATGCTGCCACATGGGCTAAACATGTCTACTGTGATGGAATTAAAAGGGGATTCTGGAACAGGAGAGACAATTGTTTGTCATCAAATTCTCAACATGCTACATAGGAACTGAACAGTAGCAACTGAATAAGAGTACCTGAGTCTAAAGACAAGTACCCTAGCATATCCAAAAACACCAATGTCAAGTAATAATCAAAGTTGCTAATTACATCTAAGATCTTGGACACTGTCTTTCATGTGGTAAATTAAATGGCTTTTGTTCTTGTTCACAAAGGATCCCCAGGAAGCAATGGGATCTGCCTGGCAGTAATTGCAAAATTCTACAAAATGGTTGTCTCCTTGAATAATAGGCGATGGTTTTTCCTGTTTGATGAGGAAATTTACTATTGCGTTTATGAACATTAGCAACAACATCTGCTTTATCAACTAACATCAGGATCCAGATGATTCTCAAGTATACTTTGCTACTCTGGATCGTACCAGAACTGCTATTGTAAACTTGAACCAATGCCTGGTATCCATCAAGCCTCTAGACAATACAAAATAAGCCAAAATAAATCTCTCCAAAATTGAGGTGCTCTTCATCAATAAATATCAAAAATATCATTCCCAGTAGTTATTTTGGACCAAGTTCTGTTTTCTTTGAAGCATTGGTGTATGACTTTTTTAAAAAAGACCTGTATGATGTAGTAAGAACATCAAGCATTGCCTTGGCAGAATGAACCTATCCTATCTGATGAGAAAAAGCTTTGAAAGTCCTGTTAGAAAACTATCCTCTAAATAAAGATCGATAAGGAGAACATCAGTAAGATGACAGACATTCACTGTAGCTCTGTACTTTAGAACACTGTATCTCCAGATTTCATAAAGCATCCTCTTTTGCATATTTAAAAAGATCATCACTTTGATAAGGTTATATTTAACTTGACCTTCCATTATCTATCTTCAGGAGTTTGATTTGATATTACTGTTGTTGATATGTTTGATTTATTTCTATTGATGGCAGTGTGATTTTGATGTGTTACAACTCAAAGAAAAAAAGAAAGAAAGAAAGAAAGAAAGAAAGAAAGAAAGAAAGAAAGAAAG